TTCCCCAGTAGGTTTATACTCAGTTATGAAGGTTAAGGTATTCTTGATCATATGTGTATTATCTTTTCCTTTTTGGAATATCATATGCAAAGATCTCCTTTCACTTTTAGTAGAAGCTGCCAGGTCTTGTGTCATCCTTATTGTGATTCCTTGGTACTTGAACTTTTTTCTGTGTGCATTTTATTTTTCCTTTGATGCTGGAACACTGAATTTTAGCTATGGCATTCCTAGGACTTTGAGGTTTCTTTTAGGAGATGATCGATTCTATCTTCATTTTACTCTTTGGTTCTGACAGATGTGAGCAGTTTTCATTTATGACTTGAAATATAATGTCCAGACTTTTTTTGGAGGGGGTTGGGCGTATGTAAATCTTAGTATTCAGGGAATCTGATGATTCTTAAATTATCTCTTTGACCTATGTTCCAGGACAGTTGTGTCTGTTATGAGATTTCTTACATTTTCTTCTATTTTTTCAATCTCTTGATTTTTGTTTTAATATTTCTTGCTGTTTCATGGAGTCATTGATTCGTTTGGTCTGTTTAATTTTTATAGGGAGTCCATTACTTGGTTTACATCTTTCTCTTCTACGACTTGTTCTCCAATTCTGTCCTTAAGAGTTTTCATTTCATTTACTTCTTGCTTCATTTCTCCTAGATATCCATGTAATCCTTGCAGAAAATTCATTTTTCCTTTGAGAATCTGCTTGCAGCTATTTATGGAATTAGTATATTCTTCTTTTGGGAGAATCTCTAGACTTGCAATAATTTTTGATATTAGTCTGTCTTCTTTGGCTTGCTTATCTCTCCAGCTTTAGTTATTTAATTGAGGCTTTTTGTCAGGGCCAGGCTCTGCCCCTGATGCACTTCTGAGTGGACTGGTTAGTCCTGGATTACCTGGATTCCCCTCTTCCTAGGCAGGGTTAGGCCCTTCTGGATCTTTGAGGTTCAGAATGCTGGACCTTCAGGATCCTTTCTGGTGCCTCAGGACCGGGTACTAGGGACCTGGTCTGAGGAGTGCTTGGGCTAGGCATGGCTATTCTGTAGGGCTTACAGGGAGAGCTGGGTAGCCTGGTTAAGTTCAGGCAGCCACGCTGGCCAGAAGTTAAATGTACATCCATAATTTTATCCCCTTATATCTTTCCTCGCAGATTTCTCCCGTCATTCCCTTTCACTTATCTTTAATCTCTATCTATCTACTGGCTTCTTCCCTGCTGCCTACAAACACATACACACCCCTTTCCCATCCTTAAAAAAAAACCTCTCCCCAGAACCTACCATCTCATCTAGGTACTGTCCTATTTCTTCTCCTTTTCTTGGCCTTTGAGAAGGCAGTCTACATACACTAGGTACTTCCATCTCCTTTCTTCTCATTTTTTTTTTAAAACCTTTGCAGTCTGGCAAATGATTTCATCATTCAGGTAAAATTGCTCTTATCATTCTCTTAACTAACTGTTAAGTTTAGAGGTCTTTTCTCAGTCCTTATCCTTGACCTCTCTGCAGCATGGGACACTAGGTAACTCTCTCTCGATTTTGGTGACCCTAGGTTTCTCTCAAGGCTCTGTCCTGGGCCCTTTTCACTCTCATTTGTTGATCCCCTCAGCTCCCACTAGTTCTGGTAGCATCTCCAGGTAGCTACATATCTAGCCCCATTCTCTCACTTGAGCTCCTGTCTTGCACTACTCATGGCCCTCTGGTCATCCCAAACTCAAGTCTCCTAACTGGGTCTTTTGCCTTTGCTCTTCCAGACCTCTGCTTCTTGGCTCCCTTCAAGACTAAGCTCAAATTCCAACTTAGGGGCCTCAGTCTTCCCTTCCAGGATTGCCTCCTGCATCTGTCTTGTTTGTACCTTGTTATTTACATGCGGCTTCCTTTAGAATGTGAACTCCTAAGGGCAGGGACTAAAATTTCCACAGCTTAGCGCAGCACCTGGCCCATAGTAAACTTAATAAATGCCTACTGATTGACAACCATGGGAGCCCCACTTTCCTTATTTTAAAATTGAGATAGATCGTTGCACTGCTGAATCAGCAGGGTTGTTGCAGAGAAAGTACTTTGTAAATTCTAAAGCACTATATTGCTACAGCTGCTGTAGAGTTCTTGGCCACCTTCCCAATTCTCCCCCACCCCTCCCCAAACCTCTGCCTTTCTACTTCCATCCAAGTCCGGACCCTCATCACTTTTCACCTGTGTTTCCTTCCTCTAGTCATTTATAATGGTGCTGTCCCCTTAGTGTATGAACATGCCTAAGTCTCTCAGTCTAAACATTTATTAAAAAAAATGTCCCTATCACTTCTCTATTTTTGAGCTACCTATTACCTAATGAGTAAAATTTAGTCTATGTGATCTGGCTTCACAATACCTTTCCTGCCTTATCTCAAACTGTTTTCCTTCATGTTATCGAATTTCAAACTTTTTCCCATTTTTACTTTCCCTTTTCCCATCTCTACTTCTGTTCATTATCCCGAATGCTTGGACCACACTCAGACATTACCTCCTCCCTCCGTTACTGTTAAAATCTCTTTTGAACCCCAACTCTGGAGCCATTTTCGCCATAAAGCTTTCTCTGATTCCTACCAGCTAGAAGTGATAACTGTTCCACCTCTCACTTCTCACAGCATTTTCTCTGGACCTCTCTTTTGCATTTATTACATTCATCCCTTGTATCATACTTATTCATGTACACACCACATCCCATCTCTGTCATGTAAACTCTGTGAGGACAGGGAATGTTTTATTTTACCTGTCTACCCAGCCCCAACACAAGACCTTCACTTTCTGGAGGTGTCACTGTTTGTTGGATGGAATGAAGTCTAACCTGCAGCAGGGGGAAATACTGCAACGATCTACGGGAAAGAAAAAAACGGCTCATCAGTATATCAGCTGCCAAGCTCTGAGTCTGTTATTGTATAAAGCTTAAAGACTGGGCTACGATGTAGTTTTCTCTCAACTGTTCTATCATTATACATTGTATTACCCTCTACTTCATTTGGTTACAATGAAGCCTGTTTTATAAACATGAAGTCTCTGAAACAGAGAGGCTAATGGTATCTTGCTACTGGTTTGGCCAGAAGAAAAAGCACCTATTTTAAAACACCAACCACATGTTAAGGTGTCAGAGCAGACTGCCGAGGTGGCCACATGGTCTCCAGCACCAAGGGAGCCCCGATTAGTAATGACATCAAAACACATTTCTGGTCTTTGTCTTCTGTGAAGATGGCTGTTTCCTTTTACAGTAAAAACATTTAATGAGACCTCATTAAAAGGTAAAAAGTACAGTAGTTCACCTTAAAGAGCAGAAAAATTAAAATATATATTATCATGAAAAGCAATGTGGTCGAGTAGATAGAGAAGTCTGACCTTAGAATGAGGAAGACTCGGGTGCATAATGATTAGCTGGGGGAACTTGGGTAAGTCACACTTCCTTGTATCCCAGACAACTTGGAAAGGAAGGTACAGAAAAGTTGTTGATCTTTAATCGGTGGAGGTAACTTTCATTTGGAGAGTTCCCTATACCGTAGATGAACTCACAGGACTTGCTTAATATTAATAGTAGCAAAAAATGATGAGTAATGCCTATTGCTCCTAATTTACCACATTTTCATAGGTTTTAGAGTTGGAAGGGATGATCATCTACTCTAACCCTCTCATTTTACAAATAAGGAAACTGAGGCCCAAGTTAATTGACTTGACTGTCTTTATGCAGGCAATAAGTGGTTTTCTGAATCTAAATCTAATGCTCCTAATACTACATGACACTACCTCTTAACAGCAGAAAATCTGCAAGGTCAGAGTCATATTCCCCCAATATCTGAAAACAGTCTGGCAATCCTCGAAAAAGGGCCATTTCTTTTTTTTTTTTTGCTTATGACAAAAATGATTATTTTTATTTATCTCTACAGGAAAGAATCCTACCATTTTCCCTGACAACTCATTTTAATGGCTAGGAGACTATCAGGCAATAATGTTTTATCTAATCCAAATCCTTTGTATTGCAACGTACCCATTTCTTCTTCCTCTGTGATGAAGGAGGTACCACCTTGCACATACTTTAAAAGATTATTACACTTCTCCCAAAGCAATCCCTTCCCCGTGAAGCCATCCAAGTTTCTCCAAGAAGACTGAATTTCTATTCTTATAGTTCAATAGTATTCACAATTCAACCAAGAATTTCCTTTAGTTTAGCAACAAGGTTGCAACTTTTTTTTGGGTCAAAAAAAAATAATTTCGCCTTTGCTTACTTTTTACATTTTCCAAATCTTCCCAGAAGAAGTAGACTATAGTTTTCTGGTTTCTCTATTTTCATGGTGCATTCCCTCCTGGGATACATTGGGGGTACATGAAAAAGTAGCTCCAAACACTTTAATGCTCATTATATTTAATAGTTTTTAAAGCCTCCTACTTTTTTGGGATATCAAAGAATCTCATGGACTTTGCAAAGTGATATGAAAAGCAAGAATTGGTTGAATTTGACTAACACTAACAGTTTCCTTTAAAAAGTGCTGACATCTTACACACAAATGTATATTAGACATACCAAAGCCATACTTTCTCATCCATATGAGTGGTGTGCTTCACCTACTGCAGCACCGTTTTTTATGGATAACATGCTGTCTTCACCCTAGCACTGATTTTAGCTTCTGCTCGACTTTGAATTGCAACTTCTACTTGGGCTTATCTTTCACATTATCTTACAGTGCCAGGCTAGGTTAGGAATCTCCTGACTGTCTGCTCCAGTGGCATGCTGGGCATGGCCAGTCAAATCTCACTGAGCCCAGGGTCAGTGTGCAACATTAACAGGTAGTTGTGGGCCTTCTTTTCCACTTGCTATGTTCTCTTCCTGTGTGATAAGCATTCCCGATGCCAAACTCCAAGTCTTCTTTTTAATCATAGATTTATCATAGTCTTTATATGATCACTTATTTCAGGAGTCATACATTCCTGAAACTAAATTCTGTCAACAAAACCTTAATGGAACCATCAGACCTGATTAATCTAAATCACTTTGCAAACTCCATTTTTATTTGGATTAAAAAGCTTCAGATGAACAAAATGATGGTAGATACATATTATAAGACTGGTTACCACTTTAAACCCTTTTGATACAGAGGTAAGGAATAATCAACCACGACTTAACCAGGTCTGAAAACGTTTAAGCTGAAAAGTCAACAACACCAGTTCTGAGACTTTGCACTGGTAATTTTTTGTTTTTCTCTTGAAGGGGAAAGGGTTTGTGTGTGTGTTGTGTGTGAGAAATGCAATTAATGGCTTTCAACCAGTTGACTGAAAATACATACACTATTTTAATCTATATTCTTACTTTGCATATAAACCCAATTTTCTCCCATACATACTTGCACTTTAAAAGTATTACAATGCTGTTTAGGCCAACATATTTTCCACAGCCATACAAACCAGAGGTTCTAAAAACCACAGGAAAAATGTGTGGTTATTTTATTATTTTTTTAATCACTTGAATTAGAAAAAAAATTTTTTTTTTTGGTTAGGTATGAAATTCTAGACTGCAGACCTCAAATCCTATCTCCTAAATTTTTACTGACATTCTCCACAGAAATACACAGAAAGACATGATTCTAAAATAAATACACAGTTAAAACAAAACAAAACAAACAAACTTGATTGGGCCCACATATAACCTCAATGGCACTGCTCTGCATGACCTTAAAGGAGACCCAGGGTTGATTTGGTTAGTTCTTACAGCGACAATGAAGCTGGTAAAGGGGTTGAAAAAGGAGTACTCCCAGCTTCTAGTGCCTTCAATAACAGCAACCATTTCATTTGCTGAAATAAGTGTTTTTAATAGGTTCCCAAAAGGAGTCTTATCCAGGCCCCAAATAAAGTAAAACAAACTTAAAAAATAAATAAATAACTTAACTAAAATTAATTCCAGGCTCTTTGGTGTAATTTTGTTAATGTCTAGGAATAAAAGTATCTGATTTTAATATACAGTCCATGATGGTGGTTGGATGGCTCAGATAAACAAAGAACTAGGACATGTTCATTATCTGATTCAGTTCAATGTCTTAATCTTTGTGGTGAAAACAGCAAAAACTCTAGTCACTGAGATGTATCCTAACAAGACAGTAACATAAATTTTAAAAAAAGGTGTTTGAAATTACTTAGAAATACTTGATGAAGATTTAGATCCAGTGGTTGACTACGGCAGTTATGACGGCCTACTGTACTTAAGTATATATAGAGACAAAAGAGTTTCTCTGCTCTATAGTCATGATTTAATAAGAATGGCATTTAGACATTGGGGTAATTAATGCCTACTAGAAAAAAAAATGGAGTTCTTCTGGGGTTATATGATAAAACCACTCTCAAAAACACAAATACCCCCCTCCTCCCCCCAAAAGTGATGTGATGTAGTCTACAGCAGCATGTGAAAGCTTTGTCTAGCTGCCTGGGCATTTTCTTGGATAGATGCTCTAAAGGTAAGCTGCCACCTGAAGAATGTTCACTACAAGGTTAGACAGGGAATGAAATATTTCTAAACTAATGTGTATGGGACCTGTGTGGCCTTTTCAGAAAGCATTTTCTTAGTGATTTTTGCCCCAGCTCTAAATGCACTTATTACCCCCTGAAATTAAAAAATTTAAGCTAATATTAAAAATATTTCTGAAACAGAAAAGTTGCAGCTCCTAAGTTTTTTTGGCTGAAAACATGTAGCAAGTCCTAAATGGCAGAAACTTACAACCTTGAAACTTGGAGAAAAAAATGCCACGCATAGGAATAAAAAATGGGGAGAAAAAAAAAAAAGGACTGTGAGTAACTGATTCTCATAATTTCATTTTCAGTGTAGGTATCAACTTTTACACACTGCTGTATTTTATTTTTAAAGCACGGGTTATATGTTTTAAAAATCACCTCCATCTACCATAATACTCCAGTGTGAACATAAATGCTTTTTAACATATGAATCTGAAAACTTCACAAGATCTAACAGAACATGTGGAGACAAACTGTGAATTCTTTTTAAACAGTTGAAAATGTTCTATGCATTCGTCTGTTAAGACTCAACAAGATTATGCACATCTTTATAAAGATCAGTTACTACCCAGACATTTAATGAAGCACAAGAAAACGTGCTTGCTGTCCTGGACTGGTCTAGAGCAGAGGCACAAGCTTCAGAAGAATGCCCAGCTCCCCATTAAGGAGCTACTGATCAGACTGAAGTCTCTACAAATCTGCTGAATCTCTTAATATTTCTTCTTGAAAAAGCATTTTAATTCACCTGTAAGCCATGGTTTCTGCTGGAAGTGCCTTAAAACACGCAGGCACGAGAACAGACAATCTTTTCTACAATGTAAACTAGGACTAACTTCACATTTCATTGTCATTTTAAACTAATTTGTAAACAGTTGTTTTTTCATGGTTTCTTTTTTTTGGTCTGTTTTTCTTTTATAAAAAAATCCCCAATGGTATCAGATTCATGGCAACAAGTAAAAAGATAACTCCATGTCTACACATACAACCAAATATGAAACTGGCTTTCAAACAAAGGAAACATATGCAAAAAAATCTTTGTGTATTTGATAAAGTCAACTTAATATAACAAAAACAAATTGAAATATGCTTATTAAAAGTGTCCTTATATAAAAATGGTCTTGCAATGTACAATAAAATGCAATAAAAATTATTGTTTTGTTATTCCCCCCAGTAACTAAAACAGCTATTGTTCCACAAAACTCTTTTATGTTTGTATCAAAGAAAGTAATTTATGCGATTAAACATTTTCTATGTTGTATGCTTGGCGAATATTAAGGGTATCTCGAAGCATCAAATCACGAAGGCGCCAGAGGGCATCTGCCATTGTAGTGTGGGCCCCTTTACTTTTCAGCCAGTGTGAAGGAAGACGGCTTTCTTGTTCTTTTGATAGATGAACATCTCGCCTTCGGGCTGAGAAGTAAAACAGAGTGATCACCTAACCTCAGCTTTCATTTTCTTAAGGTTTGCTACATTTATTAAAGTAGGGAACAAAGTTTGTGAAGTTTCATTGTGGCATATTTCCAAACCCATTTTCCATATCATTTTAGTTGGTGTCTATTACAGCAAACTCATTAAAATTCCTAACTGCACCACTTGGCAGCTGTGTGACCAGGAGCAAGTATACATGAGTCTCAGATGCCTCATCTGTAAAATGGGGGAATATCACAATTCACATCTTTATAAGCAATATGAGGTTGACAAAAGCATTTTTTTTTCCTCATTGTTCTGAAAAGTAGGATAATTAAACTAAGGTTTAGAGAGGTTAACTAACTTGTCCAAGGTCACACAGCTAGTAATGTTGGAGCTGGAAACTAAAGCCAGATCTCATAACTGAGTCCAACACTCTTTCTACTACAACCCATTCACCACCTGTCAAAACTCATACTTTAGATGTTGTGGTAAGGAAAACACTTTGTAACCTTCTAAGCGCTATATAAATAGGTCATTATGATTCCCATGAACAATAATAAAGAAAAGATTAGCACATTTTCCTTGATTTAAGCTTCCTGAGTTCTCACTATAGATTAGGTTAATGCTTATATATTATGGGTCAGTGACTCCTGAAAATACATAAATATTATTGAATTGAAATATATCACTTTTAGAGGTTAAAGTGATTATTTTTAATGACTTAAGTTTTAGCAAAATTCATTTCTATGCCTGAGCAGATAAACTTAGAATTTACTGAAAACAGAGTAGTCATATTCAATACAAAATACAACACTAAAGTCTGACAGAAATAGATTTTCATTGTGCTGTATAGTATTTACTATCTCACATCACTAAGTTCAAAGCCTGTAGCTAAAATGTTCTGTGATTTCTTTGTATTTTTCAGTGGCTAGTAAGTGTTTAACCAAAAGTCACTGTATGAACAGTTGCCTCTATAACTTCAACACCAAAATATAAACTACTGACACACATGCCATATAAATTGCTTTGAAAATGAAAATGCCATGAAATGAAAATGCCAAATCCAAGCAGGCATCAGCTTTGCCTGGTGTAGATACTCTATTCTTACCTGCAAGGGTCTGGTCCCACTTGCTAATACTGTTTGATTCAGCACTGAGCCCCTCAATGTATTTCAGGTAGGCCTCTGAGTGCAGAAGCCGTTGTGTCTTTGGTGGGGGAGAGACAAACATTGGTGTTGTTGGCTGCTGCATGACAGGCTGGCCTGCTGGATTCTGGCCGGGATACGGAGGTGGTGCTTGTTGGCCTGGGGGCCCAAGAATTCCCATCTGAAATGGGACATGACCAAGGAATGAGCATGTCTGTCTTCACAAAGAAGAAGGTTCAGCACACAGGGCACAGAGGCATGCATACACTCAGATGGGCAGAACTCTGGACATGAAGGAAACCAAACTAAGTGATTTACCTGTTGTCCGTAAGGACTCCCTCCCGGTGCTGGAGGTCCTACAATGGGGGACACTCCTTGGCCCATCACACCTATATTTTAAAATGTAATTAACACAGTTAGAGGTTCAGGGATTACGGGGACAGAAAAATCACTCTGATAAGAGATTATGTCATTTATGCCGCGAGTCCCTATGTCTTTTTGTCTTTATGACTGTGTTCATAATACACTCAATGCAGCTTTAGAATCCTGCTTATGGGGCAGCTAGGTGGCACAGTGGATAGAGCACCTGCCCTGAAGTCAGGAGGACCTGAGTTCAAATCCGGCCTCAGACCACACACTTGACACTTACTAGCTGTGTGACCCTGGGCAAGTCACTTAACCCCAACTGCCTAAAAATTAAAAATAAAAATAAAAAAAATAAATAGAATCTTGCTTATTTTTGAGGGATAGGAACTGGACCTGCCATTTCACTGGTATACAGAACTCCTCAAGAGGAAACTCTTCTCTCTGGATCTGGAATTGGGGTGAGCTTTTTTTTTTTTTTTCCTGCAACTGAAAGTGTTCTGGAGGGCAGCAAGGTGGTATAGTGGAAAGAGTACCAGCCCTGGAGTCAGGAGGACGTGAGTTCAATCTGGCCTCAGACACTTACTAGCTGTGTGACTCTGGGCAAGTCACTTAACCCTGTTAAAAAAAAAAAAAGTCTTCTAGAATTGCCCCAAACACAGAGAAGTGAAAGGCCTTGCCCAAGGTCTCCCAGCCGGTATGTGTCAGAGATGGGGCTTGGACCCAGGTCTTCCTGGTTTTGAAGGCTGCTATTTCAATGAATAAAAACAGTGACCTAACTTGAACTTAAACGTCTATGCTCTGAACCTTAATGAATGCTTAAAACCTTTACAAATCCTCAGAGTCCCCCCGCCCAACTGGCTATGGCCCAAGTGAACCTTTATGTCTAAGGTTTCTGTCTTCTGTTTGACAAAACAACCCTCAGATCTAGGGTTTTATTATGTGCAATAACGGGTGACGTTGGCATTAAACTCAAGAGTGTATAAAGTGCTAAAAGAGGAAGGAAATTATATATGGATGGGTAAGTGAAAAGTAAAAAGTGCTACAAAAAACCAAAGTCATATCATCACAATTATTATTATTATTCAGCAGGGCACCCCAGTGCAATATTCAAAAATACACCAGAAGATGAAAATATTGGCTTTATAATTATAACTAGCACTGACTGGCATAGAAAATATTTGCATCTCACATATTTGTGCTGTCATTAGGCATTAGACTAAAAAAAGTTCATTTTTAGTTGCTATGACTTAATATTCAAAATTACTAAGGGCATGATAGAGGCAGACTTTTGGGCTACTGTTTTATTTGTAATATCTTCTATGACAGTAATCTATTTTTTAAGTTCCTTTGGTAACCTTTCACCAGCAACTGTTGTCTCACAGGTATCCTTTAATATTCCTGTAAAACTCAGTTCAGTTTTCTAGGCTTGTTTCAATCCCTATCTCATCTACTAGCTTTTCTGATAAAACAAGGACTTAGTTCTTTAAAAAGCCAGGACTTTACTCTGTGAAAGCTCTTACTTGTGGTTGCTTCATCTCTGGTCCTGTTGCCTTGCTGCATAGATGGTGTTGGGTGAGATTTTCTTTCTCTGGACATTCCTATTCTAATTCACCCTGTTTTACCCAGAGTGCAGATGTTTCTTTAGGGATCTAGGGAGGCCAACTGTCCTGCAATGTCACTGACTAGATTTTTTTTCCAGTAGTATTTGGGGCTTATTTTTGTTGTTTTGAGACAACAGAGAAAATAACTATAAGCTGCCTGACTTGAGGCAAGCAGCCACTCTACTGCCTGTGATACTTACATGGATCTGCCACAAATGTTGGCACAGACCATGCCAATGCCTACTGGGTGCCAGCACTGATTGTGCCATAAAAAGATTCTGTAGGCTAACACAAAACCAATCCATTTTCTGTCTTCGGTTTCCTTGTCCCAGATATTCATGTTGCTGTTTCTAACATTCAAGATGGTTGCCAGAAAGAACATGAGTTATCTCCATAGCACTTTTAATTTTGTGTTTATATGTCTGATATAAACTTATTCATTAAGAACCATACTATTATTCTCATGAAAAGTCTTATTACATATAAGAACTATGACCTATTATTTTACGTCTATATAAACATATCTACTTTTAAAAAATGTATAACTAGGGGCACTGGGAAGGCAAAGAGACAGAGAAAACTTGACCACTCATCACAAAGTGTCTGTTGTCTAAGATGCTGGTGTTTTTGACAGTTTCTATTAGAATGTAGATAAATGGATAATCTGGATAATTAAAAACAATTAACTACTAAATCAATGAGGCAGCTACAAAGTATGATTAAAAAGTAATGACACCAATTTTTTCAAGCCACATGTAAAAATGGGCCACATAACTTCATACTGTTATCACAGTTATACAGAACCAAACATCTCCATTCCTCTCTAGTAGCATATCCCTAACTTTCACTATTCTAATGACTCCTTTAACAACTCCCAACCCTTTAAATACTTTCCAGCAGTCTTTTTTTAAAAGAAAAAAATTACTTTTTTTCCATCAGCACCCAATAGTTCTTGGGGCTTCTCTATAGATTTCAAATTTTTAGTGTGAAAAGGCCCTAGAAGCCAGTACATCTGCTTCACATATCCCACAAATGCTTAATATCATCTCCTTAGAACTGTTTGGAACTCATTAATTCTCTCTGAGACTCACTTAACTTTCCTGAAGCTTCAGGGAATCCTAGTCTAAAATGTGTGTGTGCATACGTGCATGTTCGTGTGTGTGTGTGTGTGTGTGGAACATAGGGCCTTATAGATAGCAGATATTTTATAAAGTTTTGCTGTATTAAATGATCAGATTATTAACTGAGTTTACAGCTTATAACTATATATAGTGGACTAACTTCATAGGGTAATAAAAGAGCTGGAAGGGATCTCAGAAGCTCCCCTATCTTATGGACAAGGAATCTGAGGCCTGGATGGTTAAGTGACTTGCCAAGGTCACACAGGTGGAATTTCAGAGCTAGTCCTCTGATGAGAGAGGTGCCCAGTTGCTTTTGGATTCATTTGAAAGTCATAATTCTCAGAAGACAAAGCAACCAGATGGCCAATCGTTCTGGGTCAGAAAGCAATTTATGTACTTTTCCTGTCACTTTAATACTTCCAAAACACGCCCTTTGATTTTCAAGGAATCCTTGTAAAAAAAAGTCAAGGTGAATAAAACCATTTTGCTATCATGTTGCTACCTAAAATGCTTATCAAGTGGGTCAGCACACAAGCCAGTTTGGGGGAATCAACTGAGCTAAATCCAGCTGAGACTCATAACCTCCCTTCTCTCCATTCTTCAGCTTAATTAATATTCTTTCAGTCTCTTACAAATAGCTAACCGGAATTTCTGAGGCATTGCTATTTTCTGATGATTTTCCCCAATTTCTTTTGACAGTTGCTCCTTCACAATCCATTTAGAAGGAGCAGAAAAAATAGGAGAGGAAAACTGTGACTCTTTTCTGTAGTTACTGAGAATAGCTTCTGTGAGATAAGAACATATCAGGGAAGGACTGTCCCAAGTCCTTTCACAGAAATAAGGCTCTGAAGAATTTGGGTAATTGTACAGTCTTTCCTAGGCCATATGTGGTATTTTCAGGCCCTGGTAGGATCAATTCAGTGACACAGGTTTTAGATTAGTTTGTTTACTCTGTCTGGCCTTCTACCGTGCTGCTCCTTTTAAATCAGATATCTACAGGGACATGCTCAGTGTCTGTAGCAACATAACACTGGTTCTGATGGTTACTACTAGCATCTTCCTCAGTGGTGTATGAAGACAAAGGGGCAGGTATTCCCTAAAATACCTGGCTGAAGGAGGAAGATGAAAAAATGAAGATGAGATAATGAGTGAATGAGGATGATTTCTTACCCGGTGGTGGGATGCCTGGGATGCCTGGCATACCTGGCGGAAGGTGGTGGGGTGGGGGCACCCCAGGGTGAAGTGGTTGCATGCTGCCCATGCTAACAATGCCATCAACTGGCCCCTGCAAAGGTGGCAGGACTGGCGGATAGCCACCTATCATGCCTTAAAGGACACAACAAATTTCAAACATGCATCAATAACATGCAACATGATCTAAATAATTAAAAACAAACCCCCCCCCCGAAAAAACCACGTGCACTACTAATGAAAAGCACCTTTAGTACTGCATGATACAACAGCAATTAGTGTCTTGCAATAATGAACAAAATAAAAAGTTATAAATATGAAATACACCTTTCTGGACGAATTAGTATTTAGTATATTATTATTATTTGTTGCTTTATGTTCATCCTGGGTGAAATACACTGTATAGTCTTAGTTAAATATTAATAAAAATTAATATTACCAGCCATACCAAGATCATTACTACTGCAAGCTGTTCATACATCGCAATCAGTTCTGCCAACTGCAATCCAGATTAAACAGCATAACATTGACTTCCCTCGACTCTGTAGACACCTGCATGGTGCTATCATGCATAAAAATGAGGGCCGGGCTACAGGGTTATGAAGTACCCTGTAGCATGAAGCATGTTCCTTGTGGCATACATCAAGGGTCCTGCCTCAGGACAGGGTAAGGGTCAACACTCGCCCCGGAAATATACACTTGTCTAACTCATAAGACCTAACGATAATGAATTGTTTCCCCTCAGACTTTAAATTGTGACAAATGAAATAAAACAAAAACCCAAATTGAAGCCCCAGGTAGGTGACTGCCCAATAATAAAAGCACTGGGAGAAGTGGCTGGTGAGAGAACTCAGATGAATGGGGGGAGAGCTCCAAAAAGGGCCACTTCCAAGTTTACACAAGTTTATACATTTCAGCATTAAAGGGGAGCATTTTAAATAAGGGAAAGGGCCTCTGGGCACAGAGGATTTTGTTCCTTTATTCACAATACTCGTCTTTGGGTAAAGTATTTTCTGTTGGCTAGGGAAGAAGGTTAGTGAACAAAATATGAAAATATTTGGCAAGTAACAAGGATGAAGAGAAGAAAATGTTCTCAAAATGGCAAGGACTCACTTGTAGGAAAGTCTTTAAGGAGACATTAAAAAAAAAAAATCAACATTTTTTTCAGGTTGCCCAATTTCTCTTTTCTAGAATGAGTAACACAATGGTAATAATGGACTCCAGAGCATTCCCCTCAGAGTACCCTTGATTCCCCCAAATAAAGCCACCTACACACCATAACCTCTTCGGCAAAAGTGAGGATCGAGGAAGCCTGTAGCTAAGAACACTACTGCCAAACCTTATTCTTACAAAACAGTGCTATAGGTTTTTAAGTGCTTGTGGAAGGAATGAGTGGGAAATTCAAGCTTTTTAGGGTTTGACCAACTCAGACAAATTCTTAGGAAATGAATGATAAATTTAAAGAGTCTTTCTTTTACAGCTATTAAATAACTCAAAATATTTATTACCAAAGACCAGGGTCATTCAGGATTTACAGAACTCACCTTGGCCAATTTCATGGGTCGGCCAAGGAAAACTTGAATTTGTTTATATTGATTTAAGTTGATTTTAACTAACTCATTTAAATGGCAACATTTCTGAATTTTGTAAAGAACTTGAGTCTGAGTTGTATAATTTCAAAAATGCAAAGGCAGAGAAATAAAAGATTACTAAGGAGCATGAAGAATCACTTTCTAGGGGGCAACACAACCCTAGCACACTACCAGATGCCGCTTCTTGGACTAAGAAGATACTGATGCGCTGTAAGGCTTTGCTTTCAATTACAAAAGCCCATCTGAATACAAATGTCATGGGCTGTTACTAAAAAACCATCTACAACTTAACTGAACCATATACGTGAAGCTTCTTCATTAAACTGTACTTTGGCATTTACTATCCCAGTCACATTTGTTCAAATGAGCTTTGGTGTTTGTAAGCAAAGCTAGTCCCAGGCAACAACAAATCCAAGATGGCACCAGGCTGTTACTGCCATTTTTAAGACCACGAAAAAGCATCCTTTTAATGGCATGATGCATTGGCAAATGACACCTTACTTTCTCAGTGGATTAAAGGTTGGTTATGTTAGAAATCACATCTGATCTGTTCCCTCCACACTCCTGGAGCCAGTGAGCTCAGAAAGCATACTCTTGCTAATGGAACCAGGGTGTTTTCTAGTGAGGGTGTATGTTTTTGTCCAGTGTACGGCTATTCTCCTAGTCTATAAAAGTCTATATGACTAAGGTACCTTTGGACTTGACGTTGTTATTCCCCAACAGGGAGCTAAAATGCTGCAGCTGCTGTTCTTTAAAAAAAAAAAAAAAATCCACATTTTAAAAAAAAGTTGTTTGTACTTCTTTTGTGAATGTGTCCCTAGGCATTTTAGCCAAGGGCACAATGCTAAAATTTTAATGCATAAAATAAAAGCAATTTTGACATTAATGAGGGAATGATTTCTAGAAACCTCAGAACCTTATTAACCAAAATGGGCCATGGAATAGAGCAAGCAACTATGCAACTTGTTAGCTTTACTTCAGCTATGATAAATGCAATCAATTCAAATGCCATGATTCAAATGTGCTTTGGTGAGTGAAATTATTGACTTAAGCGACAGTGTTTGAGAATTTTGCCATCACAAAGATGAGAGCACCAATGGAAAAATGTTACCCTGTACTTATCATTCCATTTTAAAAAATGAAAACAACAACAAAAAGAAGCTAAGACTATATTGAACACCACTGCCTTAGAGTCAGCACAAAAGGGGCAAAAACCCGCTTGCTTGACAGTGGAAACATGGAATAGCTGAAAAGGTACCACGTCTTCTATCAGAAAGTCCACTTCTAGGGAAGCTGTTACAGACCTCTGAAGTTAGAACATGCCAAACAATAAAAAATTAAGAAACAGCCAAATTTGCTATGGCTATAAGAATCAGAGACAACACACACAAGCAACCACATTCACAATTTTTTAAAAAAAATATGTGACTGGGATACTAACAGAAAATGCAGTTTAATGCAATAAAATAGGAAAGCATTACAGAGTGGGCATGATGAACTGAAGACGGAGTATAGATACATATTCAATTTAGCAGTCATGCACATAATTGATCAGGAAAGGATTTAGAATCAAAGTCAAAAATCCTTTAAATGATCTGTGTTTTAAGGATGGCTGCAATAAAACAAGGCCAACTGATACTGCATGAAACAGGGAATGAACCACACTACTTTGAGTTTAATTTGGCAGATTTTTCTGGACAGTGCTCAAGGTCTAGTTACCTTTCTCGTCACAGCAAGTAATCTGGGGCAGAGAGTATAACTAGACCATCCCCACAGCCAAGGCAGAATTGCTCCCTATGAATTCTCCAGTGTTGGGCCCAGTTCCGATGTTTACGGGGAGGGTATTTTCTGGGTGGAAGAGGGCAATAGAGGAAGACACGGATGATCTCAAACTCTGAAAGCAGACTGGTTATAAGAAAAGGCTGGAGGAGCCTAAGGCTCATTTGGAACCGGAGGGGGAAAAAAATGTGATCCATTATGAAGGAATTTCTTAAAGTGGAAAAAAATGGTCTTAGCTCCTGCTTTTACCTGCAACAGGTGTCAACTGCTGATTGAGCATCGCCATTGGTGTTGGTGGCGGCACCACCCCCATGAGCGCCCCCGCAGGGGGGCCTGCCCGGGGAGAAGCACTCGGCTGCGGTTGCTGCGCTGCGCGCTCTCTCTCCTGCTGCTCGGCAACTTTAGCTGCCCGCTCTGCAAAGGCATTTTAGATTTTCAATTCTGCTTTTAACCCAGGAGTTCACAACACCATCCATTTCATTCAACAGGACTAGCAAAACACAGCGACAGTTTCATCTAACGGAAAGGCATAGAGCAGAGGCCCATCCTCAACCCAGGATACGGCGGATGTCGTTGGGTGGGTAACCTAGTGGGCATCCCCAGCTTTCCTAGCCCGTCGTGAGAACTTGTCTGCAAAGATTTCAAGAATGTTAAGAATGCAACACACATTCAGAAAGCACAGGTTTTAAACATGTCACCAGCATAACCGATGTAGTCAATTAATGTTGATGAGGCACCTGACGATGAAAGCACTAGTTGTCATTACTCTATCATTAATGGCATCACGGATTGTTTAGAATTTTGACAAGAAGCAATTCCATGGCCCATTATCATTTTTGGCACAATCAATACTTGGGTTTTCATGATTGCTTGTACCCAGTCTTACAGAGACCTGGGCTCATTGGTGTCCTGGGGGATAGCAGCTGAAGAAAATTAACTCTGTAAGGGAAGAGTAACTCACTGCCTATTTCATCAGCTTCCAGGTAAAGCTGATGACTAAAATCATATATGAAGCAAATAGGGTTGTGTTAATAACTGAACTCCAGGGGAAAGAAATGACTCCTTGTATACTTTTCTGATGTAGTGAGATTTTACCAAAAATAATCAAGTTTCTTGAGGCTAAACTGTTCAACAGTAAAATTAAATTACCCCATGCAGCTGCTCCTTAAATTAGCAGATTCTAGAAATCAATGCTGTCTATCACCTAATGTATAGCAATAGCAACATCCTTGTTCAAATTCTGAGGTCAGACATTCTCTGCAAGGTGACTACATTCCTCCAAGCTAATTTTTCTGCATCTCCAGTTACTGATCCTAATAGCTGTTTTTTCACATAGGCCCAAATACAAAATACTGACTCTCCATTTGCTGACTATGACTGGCTAGAGACCATTTAATACTTTCAATTCACAAAACTCCATTGATCTAGATTTAAAATGTTTTATAACAAAGGTGAGATGTTTTCCTCATTTTTCACATGGGTAAACTGAAGCACAGAGACATTTGGTGACTTCCAAGGATACAAAACCAACAGCACCAGGGAGAGGAGACCATGAAATCCTGAATTCTAATATCATATTCCAACCTCCAGACATTGACCCTCCAACACGGAAACTCAAAAGAATGATACTTGAGCTAGGGCAGCAGAAAATTTATCTCCATGTCACATATATTTAAGGAAAATCATGACATGAAACTCCAACATTTCTCTAGTTATAACAGGGTCAAAGCTGTAAAAGCCAAAGCCTCCTTGTAGTAGAGTAACTCCTTATTTATGCTCTAGTTTAAGGGGCTAGTGGTTTTCTGAAAGGTCTTCTAAATAATAAATTATAAGAGAAGGGACATCTGAAATCTAGTTATGGTTGAGGCAGGTTGAACACTGAACACTAAGAAACTAGACTGAATGTTGACATTTTTCACCACATAATCCACACAATAAATGGGAGAGGAAAATGCTGGTAAAAGAAAAGACAGAAATTCAGGGTTAGCTGTAGATTAAACTTCCAGCTGAATACACCAGCAGGTTCTTTGCTAGGGGGAAACCAATCAATGCTCCTAATCTAACCTGTCTGAACCTAATGGAGGACCGCTTATATTTGACTTCAACATGTTAAAACCCAAGAGAGTTTGGATTTTCTGACTGAAACAGCACCTTAATATCACTAAACTCTGAGTGATTCCAGACTCCCCTTAAATTCTGGATCCCGAAATCCTCTTTCGTGCCCTTCTCTTTCTCCCTAACCAGTCACTATTATCTTTACCTTCACAAACTTGAGTTTTTCTCTCCCACTCATATCCTGAATGATTTTGCTTCTGTTCTCACAGGACAAGCCTTTCAGGTCCTCATTTTCTATTGCTGTCCAACCCCTGCTAAAACGTTATGGCCTTAAATTCACCAAGAACTGTAGGTTTTCAGATTCCTATGTTACAATTTATTTAGAGTAAGTCAGCCTAGACTAGAAGGTACAGTATCACTTTTTGGGTATTCTTAAGGAGTGTTCCACAAAAAGTCCACAGGGTGGATTTTTTTGACTAAAGCTACTGAATAAAAAGGCAGCTTTTAACATTGTCATCTTCTTTCTATCTCCTGAAAAACAAACAAACAACAAAACACTGCCCTGACTCAGCTCATCCAGCCTGCCTTGTACCTACAGAAGGGAAGCTTGCTCTGATTCCATATAATGAGCTAAGATGCAAAATTCTTGGTGGCAAAAATGCAGTCATGGGCCAAAGTCTGTCCAACCAGCTGGACTGATTTGCTACTACTTCTCTCTTTCAAAACAAAAGACAAAACCCACAAGTACTTGCTTCTCAATTAAGTCACCAAATCCTTGAAAGTTGACTCACCACCCCCCAAAAAAACAATTTCCAAGTGGAATAAAAGACAAATAAAGATAAGTGAATCTCATTATAGAAATACTAGTAATCTTAACAAGAAAACATTTATGCATTCAGAAAGGATATATGTTAAAACCTGCCTAAGAGATCACCCATTTTGGCACAGCATCTGCCTAAAAGGCTCAATACTCCTAGTCTAGAGTCAAACAGAGGTATCAAAATCCTGTAATATATTTTGCAATGTATTTGTAGTTTTTTTAAAAAAAGACATTATGTTTCAGGTGGTCTCCTTAAGCAGGTTTCACTATATTTATATTAGAGGCTATATCTGACATTCTATACACAGCTATTGCATCCTTCCCCATTTTCCCTACTAGGGGCAGCTGTTTCAAGGTACAAAGAAAGGAGGAAAACATGCCTTTTTAGAAAGGCTTTCTGTACCCTGACAGCTTTGGCTCAGGCACGTGGAAGGAGAAATCAATAGATCTGGGTCAAGTAAATGGCTGTGTTGTCATCAGATCGGATCATGCTGGATGCTACCTTGCTGAATGTGGACCTAGCATTTGAGGTAATCCTCAAATAGAAAAATTTCACATTTCTGAGTAACACACAATAACCAAAGGGTAAAAATATGGGTAAGTGGTTTTAGAAAAGGTGTGATCAGATGAGAAGTCTGACCGCAGTCTATTTACCTTCATACTCTGCTTTCTTGGCTGTCTCTAGGTTTCTCCACTCTGTCCCTACAAGCCTGCTGAGCTCTCCAAAGGAGTAGTCTGGGTGCTGAGCTTTAATCACAGCTCTCATCTCACTGCTGAAGAGGATGTAGCCGCTCATGTTGATCTTCCTTTTGGAGCCTTCCTTCTTAGAGCTGCCCTTGGCAGACTTAGGAGTAGACTGCAAGAGAGAAAACCCTCAATTGTCTACAGTGCCAAGGGAGTTTGTTAACTGCCTAAAGTTTCTGGACTCCAGAAAAACATGGTTTAATAGTTACTGTTGTGGACTGATGTTACAGAGATGTCAGGTTTCAAGCTGACCATTTTCTTAGCGGGGGGGGGGGGGGGGGGAAGGAGCCCAGGCATAAATAGTACTTCGCACTTGTTGTAGTATGTAAGAAATAAATTAATATTCCACTGAACTCAAGCATTGCAACCTGTAATAGTGACCTCATAATTAGGGCTTGAGAAAATTCTGAATGGAAAAACATCATCAATAATCATCTCCAAACACAAGATGAGTTTTCCAAACAAGAGTAGGCTAATGAAGCATAGATAACAGTAACTGGGTGGCCAGTCCTCTGGAAAGCCAGAGAGTAACAATGAAATGTAATAGATATTCCTATGATTTAAAAAACAAATGTTTTTATTTTTAAAAAATCATCTTCATCGAAGGTTCAAAACAATAAGTAAATTGAATTTTTTAGTTCATCTTTGCCTCGGTAGCTTACTATATGGAAGCCTACAAAGTCCCATACCGGAGAGCTAGAGATGAAATCCTCCATCGAGCTGCTTCTCTCCATTTAACCATTTTCCTCCCCCGAACCCCCATCTTCCTCCACCCAAGGAAGGGTTTTCTTCCACAATTAGAAAAGCAAAGCAACCCTATTTCTTCTGCTCAGTGTGTGGCCAGAAACATATGATTTTCACCTGTGGGGGAGTGTAGGGCATAATGTCCAGATCACTGGCCAGTGGAGTCTGAAGCTGGGGCAAAGAGGGGGCTTCAATGACTTCACCCTCCTCTTCTCCCATTTCTTCAATATCATCATCTCCACCTTCCAACTCGGCAAATTTTGCTTCTAGCAACTGAATCTTCTTTTCCAATAATGGTGAGGGTTCCTTCTGTGGAACTATGGGTTTTCTGAGACAGACAGAAATATCAGAAAAAATAACAGAGAGAAGAGAGCACAGTAGGCTACTATCTAATTTCTTGCTTTTTATTTCTAGATACTACTCTAGGGAAAAGAGGGTATGCTCAAGTCAGAAGGCTGCACTGTAGAGGAAATCTTGTTCCAGATACCAGCTTAGATAGATACTTACAAAGCTACATTGTCAAGTATCATATAAAATATTTGCTTTTAAAGCATTGTTAGGTACCTCAAAGATTTTGGGGGGCCAAATACAACCCCATAATACCATAATAACAATGACATGGATTGGGGCAGCTAGATGGCGCAGTGGATAGAGCACCGGCCCTGAAGTCAGGAGGACCTGAGTTCAAATCCAGTCTCGGAACAAACACTTGACACTTAACTAACTGTGTGACCTTCTGCAAGTCACTTAACCCCAATTGCCTAAAAAAAACCAACAAAACAAAACCATGACATAGATAGACTGTTTATGGCCTACCTCAATCTATTCTCATCCTTTTCAAATTTTTGTATTGGGCCATCCTTCCTATAGCAATTTAACCCAAAATTGAGTCTTGATTGTTTAAAACAATGAGAATAATCTTCAGAATCTATATGGAACTTTTACAACTTCTTAATCATCAAGATTACTACACCTCATAGCAAATGGTGACCAAAAATACTAATGCAATCTAAAGATACAATAAGAGATGTGTAATGATCAGGACGGGGGAATGATTGTTCTCTCTGTATTCTAGTTTGTGTTGACCACATTTGGGAGTATTATGTTCAGTTCTTCTGAGTGCCACATTTTAGGGAGGGGCATTAATAAATTGGAGAGTGTCCAAAGAAAAACCAATGAGATGGTGAAGAAGCCAGAGACTGTGCCATATGAACTCTGAGGATGTTTAGTCTGGAAAAGAACAGACTGGGTGGGGAGGGTGAGGGGGGCCATGCTGGCTGTCTTCAGGAATCTGAGGGGCTGTCCTGTGGAAGAAGGATTAGAGTGGGTTGTAGAGAGAATTCCTGTTGGGAGTAAGGGTGTATGCTGGACTCTGGAGATGGCCTCTAATGTCCCCTCTAACTCACTGTGTGATTGTGAACTCAGCTGAAGCAGGCTGCTTAAATACAGCAAATAATTTCTTTTCCCTATTTAACCTACTTTATTTTTCTCTTTTAAATACCTATCTATCTAACTATATACTATTCTATAAAATCATCAGTCACTCAAAAATAGTTTTCACTGCACAATTTTGATGTTCAACTACTGTTAAAAGCCAAAGAAGAGGTTTTTCCTTTAAAATGTTTTGTATTTTACCTGAAATAGTAGATTTCATCATCTACCACTTTAGCAGAGAGTGAAAACCTCTTCAGACCTTTGAATTTCTTCATTTGTTTGTCACTCTCATTATAGCGGCTCTCACAAAGCAGAACGTCATTTTCTGGTATTTCAGTCGGCCTGCAGGACAGGAAATCCTTGAATGACAACACAGCACACTTTCCTGAAAAAAAAAAAAAAAAGGTAGGTTAAATCAAGCACATCCTGCAGTCATGTGGGAACATTACTATCTAAAAAACCCACGTACTTCTGTGCAAGTAGGAATAATTCTGGACACTGAGTACTGCTAGGGCAACCATTTTTATAAAGCATCTTTAGGAAGGGGTAGCTTTTATCACTGTGTTAGAAAAAGTGAAAACTGAGACTTAGAAAGGGTAAGAATGTTGCTGGGGGCCCACACCTCATTGGCAGACCCAAGTCGACCAACTCAGGGCTCCTTTGTTATCACAACTGGGGAGGAAAGGAAGTTGAGCTGTGTAGGCAGGGAGGCAGCAACCACTACCAATGAAGGCAGTGGTTCCCTTTCAGGAAGGCATCAGACTCTCTCACTCTGGGGCTTCCTGGTGACAATGGATAAAAGCAGGGGAACTGAGAACTTCTGGGATGGTACTACCGTTAGATCACGTGTACCTCTGCCATAGGCAATTCCAAGGGAATAGTTAAGGGCTCAGAAGGTCAAGGACACAGCTGTCAATGACCTTGTGATATGGAGCCCTCTGATACTCTCTGAACCTAGGGCTTTAAACAGCTTATGGCCTAGCCTAACATTCAGGCACATGGAAATAACTCTTGGAGCCCCCTCCTCTAGGCAAGAACTTTGTGTGACAGACAGTGTGGCTGGGGACAAGTGGAGGTCAGGGGGCTTCATGATTACTGGGGTGTTTCCCGTATATCTGAGTTGGTGTTCCCTGTATTGCATGTGTCCCTAGGGAAGTCTTGTGTGCTGGGCTATGCTGCAAGCTGCCTCAGGCAGAGAGCTGGTCAAAGAGTTTACACAATGATGAATGTGTCATGAGATCAGCAGTAGCTGGGTTCTTGACGCTGCCCAAAGCACATCCCCATTTTTTTCAGTCGGCCTGTGTCAGTCAGGAGTCCCAGCATTTTGCCACCAGACCAATATAACACATATCCGGCTAGGACAAACAGCAAGTTTCAGAGAGCTTGAGTAAGTCTAAAGGCATCAAAATGTCTTATTTTGTGAAAAATTTTAAAAGATGGTCAGTCAGATGAAAGACAAAGTTATAAAGAGGTAAGGAACTGGGCTAGCAGCTACTCAAAGTGTTTTAGGACTTTATACTCCAGCAGTTCCACTTCCCAGAGAGGTTTTTCAAGTTTATCAGAAATTAGTTATCTAAGGGATAGAAATGGAAGAAGTCCTACCCTCCTAGTGGAGTGATCTATTTTAAGAGGGGAGGCCCCTCTCTGCATTCCTCTCCAGTACCATGCCTAACTGTTCCAGACAATTCTTGCACATATCTAGAACTGAAAGAAGAGCTAAAAGACCAATGAAAAAAGATCTCAGGAGAGACTGAAGAAAGGCACCGGGGCACTGTTCCTCTGGAAAAAAAAATTCATTTGGGATCACAGAAACAAAATGTATATTCGATAATGATTATATTTAAAAGAAAACAGACTGCATTTCCTAATAGTTTCTCCCTATAGGTTATTTTTGAAAATGGTAGCTATAATAAGAAATGAGTTTCAGAAGCAAAATCAATATAAGTTTTGACCGGTACACAGTAGGTGCTTAATAAATGCTTAATTCCCTTTCCCTTCCCCTTTTTATCAACTTCTGTTATAATGGATTTCCTTTAAAGTTGGAAAAAAAATGACATGTTTAATATAAAAAAAGTAATGAAATCTATATGTAAAAATCTACCATAAAAAAAAAAACAACCAACCTTTGATGATAGTTCCTTTTTTTCTTTTAACTTTAAAGTTAAACACAATCAAACTTAAAACATATGACAATCACCAAATCCACTCCAATGGATTTAACAGGAGGGATGTAAACTGTGAAGGAAAACCCAGATTATCAACAAAAATAAAAATGTCCTCAGTGCAGAACCTATTAAACTAGTCACAGTAATGTTGGAATAAAAATGAAAAAATTGAGAACAGCAAAGTCATGTGAGCAGGCAAGAAAATCCTATCAGAGTGAAGACCCAATAAGATGACTATCTGGAACCCATGACACTGGCTGGCTCTCTCTGACTTTGTGGCAACTATAAAAATGATTCTGACAGAGACAACAAAAGCTCTGGCCCACCAAGATCTCCAAGTATGAATATTTACCCAAGATACATGTCATAGGACAGGTTTCTTCCAAATTGCTCAGAAACACTTCTTTTTTGTAGAACATTTTTGTTGGTTCATGTTCTGTTTCTTCAGGGTGAATGAAGATGGGGCCAAAGAAATAGGCAGCACCGTCCCGGACCCATAGCTTTTCAATTCTACAAAGAAGAGAAGTTTCCAATAAAGTAGGACTCTGGTTGTATTTGGAAAGGGCTAATCGATTAAAATGCATTTTAAAAAAATCAGTGATCATTTCTATGCAGATGATTCTGAGATCTGACCCATCCCTAACTTCTCTCCTTACTGCCAATCCTGCATTTCCAATTGCCTATTGGGCATCTCAAATTGGGCATCCTATACTGGATATCCTGAAACTCAACACACCCCACATGGCCTTTGAGGCTGTTCATCGCCCTCCTCTCTTTGACACCCTTGTATCTCCAGGGTTTTGTGATGCTGCTCTCTCCTTCTACCTGTCTAACTGCTTCTTCTCAGTCTCTTTTGCTGAATCTTCTTCCAGGTCAGGCCCACTACCATGGTGTCCCCAAAGCTCTGTCCTGTATCCTCTCATCCTCCCATACTATCTCACCTGATGGTCTCTTCAGCTTCAATGGAGTCCATGAACATTTCTACACAGATGATTCTTAGATCTATTTGTCTAGCTCTAACCTCTTTCCAGACTTTCAATTCCATCAGTCTACTGGACATCTCAAATTGGATGTTCCAAGACAAGTTTCAAATTCAGCATGTCCAAAAAAGAACTCATTATCCTCTTCCCAAACCCCTTTCTTCTTCTTAACCTTCCTGACCGTTGTCAAGGGTACCATCATTTGTTCAGTCATTCCTTCCTCACACTCATTCCACATCACCAATCTTTAGGCTTTCACAAAATTTCTCGCATATGTCACCTTCTCTTCACTCATGAAGCCGCCTCCCTCGTTGAGGCTTTCGTTACTTCATGACTAGAACATTGCAATATCCTTCTGGTTAGTCTCCTTGCCTCAACTTTCTCTATTCCAGTCTATCCTCCACTCCGGAACCTTATTAAAGCACAGGTCTGATTATGTCACCACTTCTACTCAATAAACTCTAGGAGCTTCCTGTTACCTCCAGGATCAAATATAAAAGCTTCTGTTTGGATTTTAAAGTCCTTCACAACCTGACCCCCTCCTACCTTTCCAGTCTTTTATACTTTACTCTTTCCATGTATCCTATGACACTGACCTCTTTGACATTCAATCAATCAATAAACATTTATTAAGTGCCTACTAGAAGCAGCTAGGTGGCTTAGGGGATAGAGTACTGGGCCTGGAGTCAGGAAGACCTGAGTTCAAATCCAGACTCAGACACTTACTAGCTGTGTGACCTTGGGCAAGTCACTTAATCTCTATTTGCGTTAATCCATGGAGAAGGAAATGGCAAACCACTCAAACAGTTTTGCCAAGAAAACTCCATGGTAAGTCTGGTCCATGGGGTCATGAAGAATTGGACTTGAGTGAATGAATAAACAACAACAAAGTGCCTACTATGTGCCAGCACTATGCTAAGTGCTGGGGAGATAAAAAGAGGCAAAAGACAGTCCCTGCCTTCAAGGAACTTACAATTCAGTGGGGGAGACAACATGCAAACAAATATATACAAAGCAAGCTATATATAGGATAAATAAGAAATAATTAACAGAAGGAAGGCATTAGAATTAAGAGGGGTTGGGGAAGTCTTCCTGTAAGAGGAGGGATTTCAGTTGGGATCTAAAGAAAGCCCAAGAGGGTCAGTAGTCAGAGAAGAGAAGGGAGAGTGTTCCAGGCATGGGGAGAATGTTCCAGCCAGAGAGAATGCCCAGAGCTGAGAGATGGAAGTCTTGTTCACAGAAAAACCAGGAGGTCAGCGTCACTGGACTGAAGATTACGTGTTGGGGAGCAAGGTGTAAGAAGACTGGAAAGGATGGTCCCCGGCCACTTCCCAACCTTAATCCTATCTAGACTCCATTCTCCCTTGGCCACATGGGCTAGGTCCCAGGTGTTCTACTCATCCCAAACTACTTGGCCATTCCTGGATCCCCCTCAGTCTTTCTGTACATAAGGTCCATCTTGTCTCCATTAAAATTCATAAAAAGCTGGCCTGCCTGCATTAGTGATACAAATGCTTAGATTCCTTAAGAGTCTGTCTAATATGACAGATGTTCTAATAAACCTTGTCTTTGGCTGGCAAAAAAAAAAAAAAAAAAAAAAAAAGACTGGAAAGGTGGCAGGGTGCTAGGTTATGAAGGGTTTTGAATACCAAACAGAGCATTTTGTGTTTACTTCTGGATGCGACAGGGAGCCACTGGAGTTTATTCTGTGAAGGTGGCAGGTGGGTGACATGATTTGACCTGGCTTTAGGGAAAAAACTTTGGTGGGCGAATGGAGGTTGGATTGGGGAGAGACATGAGGCAGGCAGACCCACCAGAAGGTTACCGCAATAATTCAGGTATCAGGTGATGAGGGCCCTTTGAACAATGTCTTCCATCTCCCAACTCCTTGACTTTCTGCTGGCTATTCCCTATTTCTGCAACGCTCTCCCTCCTCACCTCTGCCTCCCGGCTTCCTTCAAGTCTCAGCTCAGATGCTACCTTCTGCAAGAAGCCTTTTTACCACTAGTGTCTTCCCTCTGGGATTACCTCCCACTTATACTACATACATCTTGTATGTAAATGGCCGTTTGCATAACATCTCCCTCATTAAAATGTGAGCTCTTTGAGGGCTTTCTCTGCGTCCCCAGCACTTGGTCCAGTGCCTGGAACATAGTAAATCCTTAGAAATGAAAAAAAAAATCAGTCTCTCTTGAATATTCAGATAATAGGCACCACATAGGGTAATTTCAGTGGTCACTCTTATGACGCAGAGAACCTTTTCCTCATTTTTTTTCAAGTAAACATATAAGTATGAGCACACACTGATGAAAGAGAACAGAAAGTTCAGCAGCTCCCACTGACAACAGCACTTCCCTGGCTGCACAACTTGACTCAGTGATGCCTAGCTGTGATGCCTTGGGCCAAACAGTGCCACAGCCCAGACTCCAGCCTCTATCATGGGCTGTCATAAGGAAAGAGAGAGATTCTGGGAAATGGATGCAAAGGCGGCTATAAAGCTTTCACATAGGTTGCCACCTCAGGATTCAAATGACCTTGCAGCTCTGCTTTTTAAATTTATATCATATTCCTTATTACCAGTCTAATTCTCAATGGACTGCTGATTTTTTAATCCATAAAATTTTTACAGCTATGCTTTTCTAATAGGGAAAAACCCCAAATACTCACCTGCCCACTCGAGGCCGCACTAAGCCATGAGATTTTATGAAAACACAGTCTCCGACCTTCAGCCACATATCATTATATCGAAGCTGTTCAAAATAGTGGCAGCCTGGCTCCCCATTAGACATTTCTACTGGAACATCTTCTTTCTCCTACAGTAAAAGATATAGTTAAAAGATGATATGAGAAAGGAAAATGAGCATCAAAGGAAATATTTAGGGAAGGTAGATTTTTACAGAATATTAACTGAAAAAATTAAACTTCCATCATGGATATAAATGCTGAAATGAGTAAACCAAAGAGTCAGTCCTGAAATCCATCTTGCTATTAATCAAGAATTTTTAACTTCTCATAGTACTGGAAATTGAAACTTTGTTATAACCTACACTAATGTATCTGGAGGCAGCTACACAGCTTAGTGGATAGAGTGCTGGGCCTGGAGTCAGGAAAACTTGAGTTAATCTGGCCTCAGTCACTTACTATCTGTGTGAGACCTTGGGCAAGTCACTGTTTGCCTTAATCCATTGCAGAAGGAAATGGCAGACTACTACAGTATCTTTGCCGAGAAAATCCCATGGACAGTCTGGTCCATGGGGTCATGAAGAATAGGACCCCACTAAATGACTATACAGCAGCAACAACAATATAGCCCTTTTAAAGTTACAAATGAGATAGATATAAAGACATTATCAAAAGATGATCCTTCAAAAATGCACACATGTAAATACGACTACAATTAACTAAAGGGAATTAAGATAAGGGGCGTATTTTAGTGACAAGACTAAGATTACAGCTAAACATAACAGAGAAAAAGAACAAATTTAACAAAGGTGATTTAGAATGAACTGGCTTCACTTAGAAGAAGAAAACAGGCTACAGAGTGGATAAAAAGATAAGACCCACAATATGGTGTTTACAGGAAAATAGTCAAGGTTTAAAATGAGAGGTTGGAAAAAGTTTATTTTATGTTAGCTGACTCCAGAAGATCAGGAGCTGTAATCAAGATTCCAAAGATGAATTAAAGTTAGAAAATTGAGAGATAAGCTTGACAATTAACAGCAACACTGACAGTGAAAGTATTTTATCTACAGGTATATGTATATATATTTGTACAACCCTCCCTACCCCAAATAGCACAGAAACTAAATTTTTAAGGGAAAAATTAACTGAAATGCAAAAAGATCTGGATGAAAAACATTAATTTTCAGAAATATCAGTATCCTTTTGGGCTCTAAGTCAAACTATATATACACATTATATGTATGAGTGTATATACATCTATGCATACATCCATATGTGTATGTATATGCACACATTTCTCAGTCTTTGTTCTCCTTGACCTCTTGGGTCACCCTCCTCCTTGATACTCTTTTCCCTTTAGGTTTTCAGGACACAGCTCTCTCCTGGTTTTTCCTCCACTTCTCTGTTTCCTTTGTTGGATCCTCCTTCAGAGCACACCCTCTGAACCATACGTGTCCCTCCGGATTCTGGCTGGGGCCCCATATGGCTCCAGTCCCCATGCATTCCTCCTCGTGCTCTCACTTCTCTGTCCCTGGCCCCCTCCCTTCAAGCTGCACATCCCCTTCCTTTCTCTCTTCCCCACTGCTGTGGGCAAATTCATATTGCTTTACATAGGGGCCTGCAGAAAGTCCACTTATGTAAAGCAAGAACTGACTGTATATGGAAGTTGCAATTAAATGAAATAACAATTTACAGGTTCTTCTTGGGAGCCAAGTAATGGAACAAGCAGAGCTGGTTTTATCATACATCCAAAAGCAATAAGAAATGTCATTTTAGGGAACCTTCGGTAACTTTGAATTGTGGTACTTATGATGGGCATAAACATGCAGTGGAAAGAAAAACTGGATTTGGAGCCCCACGACATCCAAATCCTGACTCTGCCACTTTTTCCTGTGTGACTGTGTACAAACCATTACCTTTCTAAGCTCAGTTTCTTCCTCGGTAAAATGAATTTATGAGTTGAATTTCAAAGGACATGCCATTAAAAAAAAAGAAATGAGTCAGATCAGATACTTTTCATAGTTATAGCTAAGAGGAGAGTTCTTAACTATATAAGGGATAGAGATGATCAACAAAAAGTAGATAATTTGTATGAACACAGTGAACATAACCAGGAAAAGAAAGGAAGCGGTCAATTTGGAAAAAAATTTTTACACCAACTATCTTTGATGAGTCTGATATTTAAGATACATAGGAAACTAACACAAATACTGCAAACACAAAAAACCAAAAGTCATTACTTTATGGAACTGCAAACTATCAATAACCTTATAAAAGATCCAAATTGCTAATACTAAAACAAATACAAATAAAAGTACTACTGAGATTTTTCATCTCACATCCAGCAAACTGGCCAAGATGACAAAAGATGGGAATAGTCAATGTTGAAGAGGATGTGGAAAGACAGGTTACACAAATACACTGTTGGTGGAGCTATGAATCTGTCCACTAATTCTGGAAAACATTTTAAAATTATGTTAAAGAGACTAAAATGTCCATAACTTTAGACTCAAAGACCCCAAATGCGAGGCACATATCCCAAGATATGTGATGTATGGCAGCTAGGTGGCACAGTGAATAGAATCAATGCTGGAGTTAAGAAGACAAGTACAAATCAGCCTCAGACGCTTTTTTAGTTGTATGACCTTGGACATGTCATTTAAAGTCAGTTTTCTCAACTGTAAAGTAGAGATATATAATACTACCTCGCTCCCTACCTCCCAGGGTTGTTGTGAAGTGCTTAGCACAGTGCCAGGCACACTACAGGCACTATATACATGCCTGTTTCCTTCCTTCCCTTTGCAAGGAAGCCTGAGACAGAAAGGCAGTACTTTTTGCAGTAACAAATAAGTGGAAACAAAGTAAATGTCCATTAATTGGGGAATGGCTAAAGAAACTGAGGTACATTAATGTAAAAGAATATCACTTTACCATTAAATAAGGAATGTGATGAACTCAGAAGAGGCATGGGAAGGCTCATGTAAACTGATGCAAAATGAAATAAGCAATTCTAGGAAAACAATATATACAACGACAAAAATGGAAATGGATAGAACAACAACAAAAAAATGAAACTGAATGCTGTCTACTTATAATGACCAAATCTGGCCTTGGAAAAGAGATGAGAAGATGTGACTTCTTCCATTAACTGGAGTTTTGGGGGGGTGGAAGTCGGGAGGGGAATGGACTATGGGTAGGGAGTACAGCACAGACTGTCAGATTCAGCTGATGTGTTGAACTGCTTAATTTTTTACCCTCTTTTTTATTCATTGTTGTAAACAATAGCTCTTTGAGTAGAGGAGAGGAAAGGGACATAAAATTAATGTAAAAACAAAAAAAAATCAATAAAAATTTTAAAAATACATTAAGAGTTATAAAAGTTTAAAGCAAAGGAAGCTATAGGTCAGAGACAAAATACTGATCTCCAAATTGCCTTTGATTTTTAAAATTAACTTGTATGATTCCCAGGAACATTGTTTACATTCTTCTTTCCTATTCACCCCTCTCATTATCGGTACAACACCGGATAGAACTGTTTTATAAATATTTTTCTTTCAAAACATAAAACTCTTTATGACTTTCTTCCTCATACCTTTTCCAGATTAAGGAAAGTGTCTGCTCCTTTACTATCCTCTGAAGTTTCAGTGTGTTTCTCATCATCCATTTTGTCTGTATTTGCAAACACAGAAGCAACACGCACCACAGGCAGAGGTACATCACGTGGGATAAATCTAACAGAACTGACAGGCATGGTCCACAGCTTAATTTTCTTAAAAGATTTTGTTTTGGCAGAATATCGTGACTCACAGACATAAACATCTTCATCTCGAAAGGTTTCTGGACACAGTTTAAAGTATTCCTGTTAAACAAAGCAATAGCATTAGGTTATTTAATGAAATTAAATTACTAAAAAACCCAGAAATGACTAAATAGTAAATGCTATTTTTCTGCACAAAGACAAAAAATGAAAACAATCCCTGTTCTCAGGGATTTTCTAATTTATTATAGGAAACAATATCCATACATGACATATAGTGAAATACAAAATAAATATAAGGGGGTTAAATGCAAAGTTGTTAGGGAGAAAAAGCCCTACTAATAATGACAAGTAGCTCACATCTATATCTATTTAAAGTCTGCAAAACACTTTTCTCTGTAAGGAGAAAACTATTCTGTAAGGAAAGGAGTCTAATTAGTGTAATCTTTAAATTACAGATGAGGAAACCAAAGTTCTGAAAGATTAATGATTTGCCCATAATCAGTATAAAGGAGGGATTCTGACTCAGATCCCTGGATTGCAGGACCATGCTGCCTCTCAAAGTCACAACTGACGCCACTGAGACCTCTTCTGACCTTTCAATTGCCTGGTGATGTGGCACTCTCTCCACCGCCACCACACTGCTTCTAGGCCTCAGTGTCCTGATCTGTAAAATAAGGAGTCAGACTAGATCTCCAATGTCCCTTCAAACTCTACATACCATGTCTGCTCTTATGGTCTTTTCTACTCTCCTTTTCCCCTACCACTGGGATACAGCAAACTGAGAATATAAATACAGAGATTCCTAACAGTCAATTTCAGTTTTTCTTTGAACATCTCCCTTCAACTGAGAAAACACACCAGTCTGATTCAACATTTTGTGGCTGATAATTAGTTTTTATGTGAAAGAATTAACATTCACTCCATGTAAAGTGGTCAATTCTTTCCTTAAATTATTATATGCAGTCACACATACTAATTACAATTAGATTAATGCAGTTCCTGCCTTCCAGAGTTTCAAGGTTGCTCTGTGTGTGTGTGTGTGTGTGTTTCACTATAAAACAGGTGATGAACCTGGGGGCAGTATCTCACCTTAACAAACATGACTACACATTTGCCTAGGATTTTGCTAACAGGTACTTTGTTGTAATAGTCACTTTTAAAAACTTCTTTTTCCAAAAATTTTCGTGTAGCAAGGTGGAATGTTTCATTTGGCCGATAAAACCAACAGCCACACAACCATTTTTCACCTAAAATAAATAAAAGGGGAAAAAATACCACATTAAAGACAAATGTTAGAAAAAGCAAATTAATCTATTAATTCTTCTTTTTAGGACCCAAACCCAGTAATTAGAGCCTGTATAGTCTTTAATTTTGCTGTCATTGCCTGCTCAAAAGAGTTAAGCTGCCTTTCACCAGATTTCTACAAACAAGGAAGCAAGGAAACAGCAGTTTAATTACACTATATGCTGGAAGTTTGGCTGATCTAAGAAAAGTGCTCTGACAGGTCTCAAAGAAGCAACTCAAAACGCTAGTGGGTTAATCTCATATCCTCCACCTTTGTTTCTTAAAACATTCCACTACTTCTACCCACAGCAGCTCTTTTCCTACTGCCTGCTAATCCATGTTCCTCTCTCTTCTTCAAAACCATCTGTACACATTTGACCTAAATGGTGAGGTAACATAGCTTATTCAATATTTTCCTGTAAATAAACTGCTTTTAAAGTATTCCTTTCATGTGAACATTATTTTAACTTGACTGTAAACTCATGGATAGCAGGAATCATGTCTTTTTTTTTTTTTTAATTTTATTACCTGTACACTCCAGAGCAGGCGGATCCATGGCTTTACAAACAATGGGCGCTTGATTACCATTTAGTGGTAGATTGTGCAAAGACTTATATCTACATAAATTACATATGCTCCCAAAACATCCTGTGTCCCTCCTCATGACAGCCCCAGTGAGACCTGGGTACTCACCAGCAGAATCTTCCCACAGTCTTTCAATACAGACTATGTGTGGTTGAAGGTTGGCTTCTGCTGGCTCCACATAGACATAATCCCCAACATGGTACATGCTGTTCTTGAAGCTGCAGTCCTGGCTGTATGTTCGATGTAAGATAGAGAGGCCTGCTCCTCCAGAGGAGTCCTCACTTTTTTCAGCTTCTTATTTCACCAAGGAGAGAGAAAAAACCATTAAAGAGAAAGTTGAGCATAGCAAGGGCTTTACTTTCATATTTACTGGAAAAGGTTCTACTCTATCTACATTCCATGTGGTGTTTGCTTTTGGTTTTAGATAAGATTTTTTTTCTGATATTAAATGTCCCTCTATGCCTATATTTTGCAGGGTTTTTAGCATAAATCTCTATTGAGATAATCATGTAGTTTAGGGTTTTAATGTGATTATACTGATAGTTTTTCTCATATTGAACCATCTTTGTATCCCTGGCATAAAAACCAACTTAATCATAAAGAATGATTTCTTCAAAAAAAAAAAAAAAATGATTTCTTGGATAAATCACTCATAGTCTGAGACAGTTTTGTTTCTAATTTTCAAATCAATATTCATTAATGATATTGGCTTTTATGGTTCTCCTTCTATTTATTCTTCCCTGGTTTAGGTATTAAGATTATATTTATCTCATAAAATAATTCTAGCAGGGTACATTCTCAATTTTTGAAAATAATTTGTGAAGTATGGGCATTAATTAATTGTGTTTTAAAAACTTGAAAGAGGGGCAGCTAGGTGGTGCAGTGGATAGAGCACTGGCCCTGAAGTCAGGAGAACCTGAGTTCAAATCTGGCCTCAGACCAAACACTTGACACACTTACTAGCTGTGTGACCCTGGGCAAGTCACTTAACCCCAATTGCCTTTAAAAAAAAAATTGAAAGAATTCTCCTGTAAATCATTAGGACTAGGAATTTTTTTTTTAAAGCTTTATAGCTGGTTTTCTAGTTCTTTTTCTGAGATTGGGTTATTTAAAGTCTCTATAAGGTCATCTGATAGTTAAGGTATATTATATTTTTAAAGGTATTCCTCTAGTTCTTCTGTGTTCTCAGTTTTCTTCGTATGTGACTGAATATAATAGGTTCCAAGTATTCTTTTTATTTCTTCAGGTCTCGTTTTGACTTTACTTTGTTCATTTGTCATTTTATTTGATTTTCTGCTCTCTTGTTTTTAATCAGACTAGCTAAAGGTTTATCAATTTTATTAGTCTTTTCAAAGAACCAGCTTTTAATTTGATCATGTCTATATTTTTTTGTTTCCAGTTATTTTTCCTCTAATTCTCAATATTTCTTCTTTCGTGCTTTAGGTTTTTTTATTTGCTGGCTTTCTAATTTTTTAAATGCATATTCAGTTCATTAATCCTCTCTTTTTCCTATTTTGTTAATGTATGTTGAAGGTACATGATCTTCCACCTGAGGAAGATTTAGCTGCATCCCAGAAATTTTGGTATATTGTTTCTTTTCTTTCTTTCTTTCTTTTTTTTTTTTTGGCTAGGCAATGGCGTTAAGTGACCTGCCCAGGGTCACACAGCTAGTAAGTGTTATGTGTCTGAGGCCACATTTGAACTCAGGTCCTCCTGAATCCAGGGCCGGTGCTCTATCCACTGCACCACCTTGCTGCCCTATATTGTTTCTTCATAATCATGTTCTTTCACGTAATTATCATTTCTGTGATCTGTTCTTTGACCCATTTATTATTTAAGATTTCATTTTTAAGTATCTATTTGGATCTGTCTTTGTTTGTGGTCCCTGAATCAATGACTATATTTATTATGTTATGGTCTGTAAAGGATGTATTTACTATTTCTGCCTTTTTACATTTGTTTGTAATGTCTCATAATATATGATCAATTTTTGTTAAAGTTCCACATAATACTGAAAACCATGTATATTCCTTTGCAGCCCCAGAGTAGATATCCTAAGTCTTTCAGTTCTTGTTTTTCCAGCAATTTGTTCAGTTCTATATTTTCCCTTTTATCTGTTAGACTCATCTAAAACTGAGAAGAATATTGAAGTCTCCTGTCATCATAGTGTCACTGTATATGTATTCTTGTAGCTGTTAACGTTTCCTTTATGAATTTGGATGCTAACACATTTGGACCATATACATTTAGTATTGATAGTGGCTTGTCTATGGTTTCTTTCAGCACAATGTAGTTTCTTTGTCTGTCCCTTTTTTCTCTTTTTAATGTTTGTTTTTGCTTTGTCAGACAGCATGTTTGCAACTCTTTTTTGGAATGACTTAATGCATAACAAATTTGTTTCTATCCCCACAGTTTTATTCTGTGTATGTATGTCTTTGTTTTTTAAACATGTTTCTTATAGGCAATAGATGATAGGGCTTTGTTTTCTTATCCATTCTGTCACTTCTTTTTGTTTTATCTACTCACATTAAAAGTTATGAGAGGGGCAGCTAGGTGGCACAGTGGATAGAGCACTGGCCTTGGAATCAGGAGGACCTGAGTTCAAATCTGACCTCAGGCACTTGACGCTTACTAGCTGTGCGATCCTGGGCAAGTCACTTAATTCCAACTGCCTCACCAAAAAAAAAAAAAAAAAGTTATGAGAGTTGGGTTTATATTTTGCTCCATTTGTCTATGTAGCTTCAGTTACTTTAGCTTAATCTTTTAGGCTGGCCCAGTTCTTATTGGCTCTCTTTCCCACTCCCCTAACCCCTGCTTTCTGTTGGTTATTCCTTTCCCTTTGGAGTTTTATGTTAGCTCCTTTTTCCTTCTATCTAATTATTTCTTTCCTTCTATTTTTCCTTTCAGTCAAGTAGATTTCCTTTACTTCTCCCCTTCAATCAGTCCTGTTGGTTTCTTAAATTGAATTTTCCTTCTTCATTCTCTTCACTATCCCTCCTCCCTTTCTGCCCACTCGTAGGCCCTTATGCTTATCTAGTCCTTTTCTATTCTCTGCATTCTTGATGGAATCAAAACTTCAAAGATATCCAATCTGGACCCTCCCCTCTGAATAGTTTCTGCCATTTTATTGTAGAGCTTTCTCCTTAATCTTTCTTTTCCCTTGTGCCTCATTCCATGAAAGTTGCCAGTTCTTGCAGGTGACAGTGAGAACACTCCCATCCCCTCACGTCCTTGATTATATAGCCTACTAGTGAGTTCTATGCTCTCCCTGGTCATCTTTCTTCACCATTTGCCTTAAAATCTCCTCCATGAGTCCATGCCCTCCTACTCCCTCAGTATTAGCAGCCTCCAGAAGCTCCTCACATTCTAAGGCAAGATGAATGGTATAACACCCAAAACAAGGCTTCCATCTCCCGTCACATTCATTTATCCCTTTCTTATTTCAGTTGTCTGGGATGTAGGAGAAGCAAATAATTTCTTCAGGTATGACTTTCTTCCTAAAATGTTTCATGTTTCTCTTTATTATTGAATACTTATCTTTCATTCATTAAAGGTGATGCTCAGATTTGGAGTCACTCAGGTCACTCAGGGCTGCATCCTGAGCTCTACTGCTCTTCAGAACACATTATTCCATTCCCTTCTGAGTTTTCTGGCGGGTTCAGAATAGGTGCTGTTCACATCTCCTTTCTTTTGTATTTGAAGGTTTTCCTCCTAGTCACTTGCACAATCTGTTTTTTTCTCACTGGAATGACTAAATTTAACCACTATCTATCTTGAAGGTTGCAGCCTTGCTTTTTTTCTGGATTCTTTTAATTGGTATTTCATTTTTGTGTTTAGAAATTCTAGGCAGTTTTTTGTAGTATTTCTTGCATTAGGGCATTCAAGTTTTTTGACCCATTGTGTTCTTCTGGGAGACCTCTAATCCTTTAGTTCTCTCTCTACAGCCTGTCTTTGAGATTAATTTCTTTTTATTTCTGCTGTGCAGGCCTTAAATTCTGCTCTCACAATACTCATTTCTCTTACTCAGAAACAGCAAGTTGTGGTTTCATTTTCAACTCATATTACACAGGGTTGTCTGTCCCATCAAGTGTTGAATTATTTCCCTTTCTTTCGTGGTATTTATTCAAAGATGCTTGAACTTGTTTATGAGACCTGGAATCCAAATTTCCTTCTGCTATTAATGTTTTTCCTTCTTTCCTTTCTCTGTTAATGTTTTCCCTATTGATTTATCTATTTATGCTGAAGGTCTCTGAGTTTTCTTCCTTATGAGACCTTTGATTTCAGTCCCCCTCCCCCCACCTTATTTTTCCTTATTGTTCATTTTCTGACTCTGTCCCCTCTGGGGACAGGTTTCCCTGGGGGCTGGATCTCAAAGGGTCTCAGCTTCCTCCCATGCTGAGCAATTCATGGTTCACCAGCATAGATCACTGCTCCATGACTTTTGGATGGGCAGATCTGGCCCCACTTGGATGCTGGGCTCTTTCCCAAGCTTAATAGAGTGCCACTTAGTAGACTGTATCTCTCCCCCCACCCTACACCGCATCCCCAACCTTCCAACTAAGTGTCCTGGCCTGTTCTTTCTGTTCCTTGAGTCTCTGTCCCAGCACAACAGAGCACTGCTACACTGATGCTCTTGCAGCCCGGGATGATTTTTATCCTTTAGAGTTTGGATCTCCCTTCTCTACAAGAAGGAGAGGAGCAGGAAAGGGGTTGGAGTATATAAGTTATTCTCTACTTCTCTCTTTTTTCCCCCCTCAATTAAAAAAAAATCTAGTATTTATTTTTCCTCAATTACATGTAAATACAATTTTTTAAACATTCATTTTTAAAACTTTGAGTTCCAAATCCTCTCCCTTCCTCCCCCCCATCCCCATTGAGAAGGCAAGCAATTCAGTATAGGTTATACATGTTATAGTTATGTAGAACACATTTCCATATTAGTCATGTTGTAAAAGAAAACAGACCAAAAAAAAAAAAATAAAAAACAACAACAAAAACAACAACAACAAAACAAATCCTCAAGAAAAATAAGTAAAAGTGAAAAAGTAGACTTCAATCTGTATTCAGACACCATCAGTTTCTTCTTTGGGGATGGACAGCATTTTTCATCATAAGTCCTTTAGAGTTGTCTTGGATCACATATTGCTGAGAACAGGTGACCATCTTACAATATTGCTGTTACTTTGTAGACAATACATTTCGCTTGCATCAGCTCGTGTAAGCCTTTCCAGGTTTTTCTGAGAGCATCCAGCTCATCATTTCTTATAGCACGATACTATTCCATCACAATTTGT